ATGATAATATAAATATGAAAATAAATTGTGTTCATTGTTTATCATAAAATGTTATTCAAGCCTTGGTTTTTTAATTTAATGAATCCTTAATACTTAATTTATTATTTTTTATATTATAATTGTTGAACTTATATAATATTTAAATATAATACATTCATTAAATCATAAATTTCTACCCATACCTATATTTATAATTAAACATTAATAATGTAATAATATTGTCAACGTATTAAAAATATTTATTTAATTACTTTTAAGCAAGCAAAAAATGTGATGTAGAATATTATAATATGGGTTTTTTTCTAGTATTTTTAATTTAAAATTCTTGATCATTATAGTATGAGGTTTTTGGTTTTGTCTACCTCATTCATGAATCATGTGATTTATTTTGTCTATCATAGTATCATGACCTTTCAGAACACTAAATATGTTGATTCTTTTAACTTTTGTGGGTTGATAAAAGAGTATTACTAGTATAAATTATAAGGATGTAATAATGTCATAACTAATGCTAAAATATTTTATTCAAAATTCATTTTTGCATAAGCAATATTTCATTGGCGTATTCCAAAATTAGACATTAGGAATCTAAATATGGTATGGTACAATTGAAGTGCTCGGCCGAACAACGGGACAAGCGCCAGTCTCGGCATTATTGCGTTTATCGGTGGAATAACGAGGCACGGGTATAATTTATTGTATATGTTCACTATCGCATTGAAATTACAAAGAAATAGATTAAAAGGCAATATTAAGTTAAGTTTTAAGTCGTGGAAAAACGTGACACGTGTCAAATTGTATCATCTATTGTAAAATGCGCTCAGTGGCGCTTGTCCCGTTGTTCGGCCGAGCACTTCAATTCTTGACCACATTTAGTGAACTAAATAAAATTAATAAAGAGTTAAATGTAATTATTGCTGTAATAAATAATTATAATTATGAATTTATGATTATTCTGATACAAAATATTTACTTAATTTCTTATATTCTTACATAACTCATAATTAGGGCTAGGGACTTCATTCCCTAAAAAACCTTAAAATATGTATGCATTTATGCCTTTAAAAATTACCAAATACAGTAGAGCCTCGATAGTCCGGACGAATTCAGACCGAGCATCGTCCGGATTATCGATTTTCCGGATTACTGGTGGTTTTTCAAAATTATCTACTCAAATGACTATGATTTTATTTTTAATTTCACCATCTTTATATTTATTGCATTTTAAATTACAAGAATATTAATTAAATTAAATTAAATTAAAACTAAACTAATGAATTACAAAAAAAAAAAAAAATGTTTAAAATAACATGTCTGTAGAATTTAATTATAGTAATCGGTAATTTTTTTCTGAATAATACTTTAAATTTTCATTTCAAAAGCGAGTTCTCTTAATCGACGTACCAACAAAATATCAGTGCTATCCACGTTCTCATCTTCTGCCCATTGCAATATAGTATTCAGTGCATTCACAGCTTCTGAAGGAGAAACTTTACTTGTAATGATTGAGCCACTTTCATCCTCGTCGTCAATATCATCCTCTTTTGCTGCAATTTGTAAAATTTGAACATCAGTTAAGATTTCATGATTCGTTAAATCTTCGTCTGCGCCACGGCAAGCCCATTCCTGTGCTTGAGAATCAGACATTTTATTCGTACATGTTTCTTGTATCTGGTTTATGAGCGTAGAAATTTTAATGTCATCGATTTCAACAACTTCGTCGATTTCATTTTTTGCTTGGAAAGGAAGCAAGTGTTTCCACGATTTCTTTATGAGCATTGGCGGGACTAATTTCCAACAATTTGCAAGACTGAAAACTACGTCTTTTAAATTTATGGCCTTTAGAGCATCAACAAGGTTTTCACCATGCAGCGGATCAGTAAGAACATTAACTAAGAGAGACTTACGATAGTTTAATTTAATATTCTGAATTACATTTTGATCCATCGGTTGAATAAGCGCTGTAGTATTAGGAGGTAAAAACATTGCAAAAATGTTGCCATCTTCACTACGTAATTCTTCTGCTGATGGATGTCCAGGGCAATTATCTAACAATAATAAAGCTTTTGGAGGTAAATTTACATTTAAAAGGTGCTCACGAACTACAGGAATAAATAGTTTTTGAAACCAGTCTAAAAATAAAACACGAGTGACCCAAGCATTTTTTTGTCCACGATAGCATACGGGAAGGTTAACTGATTTAAACGCACGTGGTTTTTGTGCAGTCCCAATAACGAGCAAAGGCAGCTTATGAGTTCCACTTGCATTAGCACAAGGCATGAATGTTATTCGAGCTTTAATAATTTTTCTCCCAGGGGCGTTTTTCTCATGACTTGATGCTAATGTATGCTCTGGTAACATTCGCCAGAATAAACCGGATTCATCAGCATTATAAATTTGTTCTAGGTCCAAATTGTTTTCATTTATGACTCGCTGCAACTCATTTCGAAATGGTTCGATTGATGCTTCGTCACACGAAAGTTTCTCACCCGTTATTTTAAGGTGCCTAATACCATGACGATGTTTAAAATTGTCTAGCCAACCTTTACTAGCAGTGAAACCATCTTCCTTCTTTGTTATTTCACAGTGAAATAAACGTGCTTTTTCGCAAATTATTTCACCACTTATCGGAATGTGTTGTCTTCTCTGTTGCATAAACCACATAAATAAAGCGTTTTCGAGGACAAGATTTTCCGACTGTTTTAAAGTTTTACGTGAGCCTGAACCACATTCAGTTGTGCTGACAAACTTCATAATTTTGTCTTTATTTTTTTTTATGTCACCAACAGTTGATTTACCTATTCCGTACTTCTCAGCAATTATACCATAGTTCTGGCCATTTTCTATTAGCTTAATTATTTCAATTTTTTGATCTAAAGTCAAAGTTACGTGTTTACGAGGAGCCATTGTAACAAACAAGAATAATAACCACTCGACAAAAAAGAAGTAAACGAACTGACCATCGGGTATCGATTTATTATGTACTTATGTATGTATGTATTAGTCTTTACTAGGAACAGTAGATAATTTGTCGATAACAATATCTTATAGATTAATTGGGTTGTGGGAATTCTCGTAAAATCTATTTACGAACAAATGGAATTTTGCCGTCCGGATTACCGCGTTCACCGGATTATCGGGGGTCCGGACTATCGAGGCTCTACTGTATGCTATTAAAATATGCACTAAAAAAAATAAATAACAGTATTTAATAAAAACCTTTTTATTTTAATATGAATACATAATTAATAAAATTTTAATTTATAGTAAAAAAACTTGTCATAATAAATAATTGATTTTCTTCTAACACCCGAGTTCTAGTCTAAAATAAAAAAAATACTTTTTAAATTGAACATGTTTGTAAATTGTTTTAATTAATATTGTATTCATTACCTTGAGCATTACATTGAACTATGAGATATTTTTTCAAGTTGGAAAATTCGAATGACCTCCTGTTATCAGCCAAAATATTTTTATACTTTGAAAAGGAACGTTCCACGTCAACAGAACTGATTGGTGCAAACTTAAAAAACGGAATATCACCACTACTAATATCTGTTGGCAATCCGTCCATAGATTCATTTTGTCCATTTATAATGTCTGATATTTTTTGTAGTTGCACAAATCCAACATTTTTTTCCATAACTTTTTGGAATTTTTCATCAATTGCCTTAGCTTGAGCGCATCCACCAACTTTTGCTGAATGTATAGATTCTTTTGTAGTTTTAATTATTTTAATGGATTCAGTAAGTGACATGCCTTTGGTTTCAAGTCGAGTGATAGATGTAGAAATAAATCCATAATTTGACATGATAAAAGCTAAATTTGCTTCCAAATTATTTGATTTTAAAATTTGCTTACATTTTTTGATGGATTCTGCATCGTTTTCATCAAGCATATCAATAACTTGTTTAATTATTTCAAAATATTTACAATAATATAAAGCAGCATCAATCCATGTACCCCACCTGGTTAAAATTGGTTGCGGAGGTAATGGAATATCAGATGCAACAGATTTTAATGTTTGAATACGTGACGGTGCCTTAAGAAAAGTTTTTTTCACATTAGATACGAGTTGATCGACGTTTTTATACTGGTTTCTTATTTCTTCAGCAACACGATGAAGCCCGTGTGCCAAGCAGGTTACATGAATTATTTTAGTGTACAAATTTTGAATCGCTTTGCCGGCCTTAATCATGTAAGGCACGGCATCGGTTACAAATAAAAGCACTTCATTGTATTTCACACCTTGTGGCCAGAGCAAGTTCATTGATTGGTCAAAAAGCTTAAAAATGGTCGAATGGTTTGATTTTTCTAACTTTTCCGAATTCAACAAAAAATACTACCCGGATCGTCTACTGTAAGGCTGGGGTCACACGAGCGTTGAAAGAACGGACGTTACGACGGACGTTATAACGTCCGTTGTTGAATTATATGATTTTACTATACGATGGTCACACGCTTGACGTCCGTTGGATTTGCCATCCGTTCGACGTTGGTAACGTCCGATACATGCTACGACGGACGTAAATAGCGCTTATCGGACGTCGTAGTTTATTATTAGATATTATTGACTCGGTCACACGATCATTGTTTTGACGTACGTTAATCGTGAAAACTGTGAATTTTTCTGTGGAAAATATTTAAAAAAATACTTGAAAATGGACGTAGAACTATTAATAACAGAAATAGAAAAACGTCCAGTTATATGGGATGTAAGTGACGAACTGTATAAGGATAGAAATAAGAAAAATGATGGATGGATGGAAGTTGCAACTGTTGTATTTGAAAATTTTGGTGAAAAAACTAAAACAGAACAAAAAGTTATTAGTAAGTACTGACTATATTAATTTATTTTCATATGATATTAATTAAATGATTAATAAATAAATAAGTTTAATTATAATATAATATATATGTAATATGTATACTGGATATACAGATGAACATAAATAATATTTTAAATTTTTTCATTCTGCCATGCCACTTGTCCTAATTCACTATTGAAATAATTTGTCATTTGCATCCCGATATCTGTTATTAGATCTGTTTACGTTTAAATTATTATCTAGTTCAATATCGTCCATACCAGTTACCATAAGAGAATCTTCAAATTCATATCCATCACGTGCGCGAACAAAATTATGCAAAACACAACAACATTTGACAATATCAATTGCTAATTCTATATCAACATCTATTGCGCGGTGAAATATTCTCCATTTATTGGATAAAATTCCAAACGCACACTCAACATAGCGTCGAGCACGTGAAAGTCGATAGTTGAAAATCCTTTTATTGATTGGTAAACATTTTCCTGCATATGGTCTTAACATATTTGTAGATAACCCAAACGCTTCATCGCCCACAAATGCATATGGCATAGGTATCTGAATACCACGTATTAGATTAGGTTTTGGAATGTTTAGTGAATCATTTTGTAGTTTCTTATATAAAGTTGAGTTTTTAAAAATTGTAGGGTCTGAATCTTTGCCAAATGAACCAACATCAATAAATGTGAAACAATAATTAGAATCAACCACTGCTAATAAAACTACAGAAAAAAAATGTTTGTAGTTAAAATAATGAGACCCACTTCCATGTGGTTTGATAACTCTAATGTGCTTTCCATCAATAGCACCTATGCAATTAGGAAATTGTGCACGTTGTTGATAACCTTCCGCGATTTCTAACCATTTTTTCTTCATTTGGTGTTGGTATACATTCATTGTGCATAACTTCCCATATTTGCGAACACACTCTCCGTATAATACCACATAAAGTCGATCTACCAATTCTATATTCGTAGTGTAAATCTTGAAGACTGTTTGTACTACCCAGGTACCTGCAAAGGGAAAACTTTGATAAATATAGAATTACAAAAATAAAATTAACCGATTACTAAAAGTATGTTATATAGACCATGGACGTATAGTATGTTATGCATAAAACTAAATCCTGCATTTATTATAATTTAATACATCTATTATAGTGACCTACTAATTGGCTGCTAAACAGCAGAGCGTTACTCACTTGTTTTTTTCTATTTGTTTTACACAATACAAGATCTTATATCAAAATGGAGAAGTGTACGTGATAATTATATTCGTAGTTTAAAAAAACAAGCAGAATGTAATAAGTCTGGAAGTAGTAGAAAAAGAGTTCAACGTTATATTTTTGAAGAACAGCTTTCATTTTTGAAAAAAAATAGAGAACTTCGTCCCACTACGAGTAGTATTCAATTAGAATCGAATGAGGAAGATCTTGATGCAACGCAATTGTCAGATAACATTAATGTAGTAGATGAAAGTTTAATATATGATAATATAAATAATACAAATAATGCAGAAAAAACTATTTCGACACCTCCACCAATTAAAAAAAAGAAAATTAATTTAGAAGAAAAACTTGCTTTGTTTTTGGACTCGAGACAAAAAAAAAGTAATGAACCAAACCAAGATACTAATGACGAGGACCTAAACTTCTATAAGTCAACATTACTGTTAGTTAAGACATTTAACGTAGATCAAAAAATGCAATTTCGTATTCAACTCATGCAGCTTCTACAACGAATAAAACTAACCAATAATGTACCTTCATATTTCCAACCACCTGGTCCAATTTTTGACCCCAATTCTGGTGTATCGATATCTTCATTAAATCATAATTATAACTCATCTATGCCTATGTACCCGTCTACAATACAACACACTCCAATGTACAACTATGACGAATTGTCACGAGGAAGTATACCTAACACAACTTCACCATTATCGTCTAACAACTCCGTTACTGGATATTTTAGTCAGTTTTCTCCAGATGAACAAAACACGTCTACAAGTAATATGTAAATTTAAAATGATACATAAGATAATGTATATAATTTTAATTTTTTTGTTAATTAAATGCTAAAGAATAAGGATTACCAATAAGCATACTAAAAGTGTATTGTTATTTTATTTTTAAATTTTTCATTAAATATAATTTAAAAAAAATGCAAATATAATTATTTATTTTGTACATATCACGTACCTCAAAGTAACGGCCAACATCTCTTCTGCTGGTATCGCAGATCTCATAACTGTATCTTGACGCATTATTTTAGACTTAATTTTGTTGAATAGCTCGTTAAATGTACTTTGTGACATGCGAAAATAATTGAAAAATTTTTCATTGTCAGCTCTTAGCATGTTGTAAAGATTGTAAAATGTACCACTTAACAATCGTTCACTATTTATTGGATGAACCCACCATCTTCGATTCGCACGTTTTTTTTTTCGTAATACTCTTATAGCTGAGTATACAAAAATTGCGGTGTCTAAATCGTCCATTTTGTAAGATGTGAAATTATCGACTGACGTTTTACGTTCATGTGACTAGGGTAGTGACGTCCGTTAAGATTTAACGTCCGTTGCAACGTCCGTTCTTTCAACGCTCGTGTGACCCCAGCCTAAGAGTTCCAATTATAACGTTGGCAATAAAGCGTCCTTCTGCGTCAGTGGTTTCGTCTATCGAGACCCAAATTTTTTTTCCGTCAACACAATTTTTAATTTTTTCAATTGTTTCTAAAAATAAATCGTCGACATAACCTTTACGGAGAGTGGCTTCTTTCGGTATTTCTTTTTTAGTGTATAGCTCCAAAAATTCTCGAAAATGTTTATTTTCCAGTTTATACAATGGTATATTGGCTGATAACATCGCTTTACATAAGTCTCTATTAAAATCGTTTTTCTTGGAGAAAGACGTGGATACAAGTTGCTGAGTTTTAGTTGGTTTCAATTGTAGTCGATTTAAACCCTGGATGTATTTTGCTGTTTTAATATGTTGAATAACAGTAAATCTTTTCTCAGCACTAACTTTAATGTCACATATTTTACAAAATAAAACAGAGTTATCTGCCAAAAATATTGTTTCACCGAATTCTTTAATAAAATTGTTTAGCCGATCATAAGCTTTAGGCTTTGGTCTAGACATTTTAATTATTTTATTAAGAATTCACGCAAATGTACGATACTTTTAAAAAAGAAAATATCACGGCACGAAAACACGATACGAAGAACGCACAACAACAACTGTCTACTAATCAAAAATAAAAATATCACAGAACGTCCTGTCTACGGGATTATAAATATATGTCATAATTTCATAGAATGTTATTTTGGTAATATTATCGGTTATCGCCTATCGGAATCACTTGTGAAGTATACCATTAAGGCCATAGTCCATAAATAACAATGGGAGCGTTCGGCGAGAAAAAACAACAATACTAATTTTATATATATATATATATAAAACCATAAAATTAATATTTCTGGTCTAGGAAATCGATCTAAATTTAAAATTGTTTGTATAAAATATTTATTTAATTATAAAACTACCATTTTCATATTAAAAATGCTCAAATATGCACTTATAATTAAAAAATGGTCAAATATGCAAAATATGCAACTATAAATTTTAAATATGAACTCGTATTACCATGAAAAAACATGCAAACTCCTAGAAGTCCCTAGCCCTAATGATTACAGTTTTCATAGTCTGAGGGAACGTTATTCTCATTACAGCGATACCTCTAATTTATTACGTAATAATCTAAAACCATTATCAGAATTATTTAATCTTGATCTAAATTTTGATTGTATATATTAATGTTTTAAAAAAATGATTATATTATTATTTAAATTATACTTTTAAAAATAATGTTTTTAATAATCTACATAATAAACTATATATATACATTTAAAAAGAAAAAAGTGTTTTTTATTTATTTTTTATTTTTAGTTTAATTATGAAAAGATCAGTAATCACAAAATACCAACGTATGAATACGAGTGGAAGCGGACTGATCGAAATCGAAAGGTTTAAAAAATGTTCAAAAACGTTCATTATAAAGAACAGTCAAAAAAATGTGGATTATAAATTATTTTTTAGTTATATTTTAGATAAGCTTATTTTAAAGTTAAAACAGTCATCACAAAAAACAGCAATCAAATTCAATTTACATGTTGATGCTGTTTATGAACGTCCGGTAACCCATGATATTCAAGATATAGCTTTTAAATCATCAAATATTTTAGCATGCAATTCATCTGATTTTACAAGTTTACTAAATAGTATGTCCAATAAAATATTAACTGAGGAATCAGAATTTATTGCAAAAGGTTCAGGTTGGTCTCTTGTATCAATAGATGGGTTACAGTTAAGAATTAATTTAGTAAACCCTCTAAAAGGGAGTTCATATATTGATTTACCGTTATTTCTAAAAGAAAAAAAAGCGATTGTTAATGTTAAAAACAGGGGCGTAGCGAAGCCATTTTTTTAGGGGGGGGGAAACTAAGTCCCTTTGGCCGACTAATTAAAAAAAAATTGTATATACATGTATAAAATATGTTTTATTTTTATTTTTTTATGTTAAAATATTGTCAGTGTTCTTACTTTAATATTAAAAGTTAATAACTTTTTAAACTTATTTATACTTTGATAAACTTGAGCTTTAGAGAATGAACTTATAGAAAATAAAACAATGGATATTATTAAAAGTTATTAAATGCAAATTCTTCTTTTTTTTAAAATTGACCATTGCTTAGCAATAATATCTAACTTAACATCATCTATTATGTCTTTTTCCGAGGAAAGTAACAGCAAATCGCTTAAACGGGAGTCACTCTGGGTTGTCCTTAAGTAATTCTTTACCAATTACAACTTACTAAATGAACGCTCATTTCCAGCAACAGTTACTGGAGCCGTACATAATAAACGACACATTCTATTAGCTATAGGAAGCATTTTATTTGTTTGTTCCGAAACAGCAGCTACATCTGAAACAGTTTTCACTTCTTTACATTGGTCATAAAGTACTTCTAACTCAACCTGTAAATGTAACGGGTCTACAACAAATTTTTTAGGTAAAAATGTCATTGCATCTTGAATTCCAGTTTCAGTTAAGTTATTTCTTGATACAGGGGGATTGAACAGATTATATAATGGTTTAATTGTACCAATACAACTTTCTAAATGATTCTTCATCAGTGACGCGAGCTCGTCCAACACAGATTTATACTCTTTCCTATAAAATGTTTTAAATGATATATTAGCCGCATTATCTCTATTGTTATCAAAACGCTTAGGTACAAGTCGGCGCCTTTGCCGAACTATAAATTCTTTTTCAGCATCAACATCAAAAGACTTCAAAAACGCAATTGAACTATTTATAAGGTTATCCATACCATCTACGTCTGAATTAATAATGTTTAATGATTCTAGAGTACTTGACATAAATATGATTGCATCAGCTATGTTAAGTTCCATTGATTCGAGACACTCAGTTTATAACTTCATCTTATACATAACATTTTTCATGAATGAAATACTTACAACAAAGTCTACGGAAATTAAACGTTTTGATAAAGAATACGCTGCATTTCTGGTAGATTTATCAAATTTGTCCTTGGTATTTGTTATCTCATCTAAAACTTCAATAATTATATTAAATGATGACCAAACAGACTTAATTGCCTCAGCACGTGCTGTCCATCTTGTCTTCGACAAATTTCTTAGTTTCAATGCAATTTCAATATCAGCTAGTTTATTCAGTAATGGTGAATATCGTTTTGTACTCGAAGAAAAGAATACATACAGTTCTTGCATTACTGAAAACATATCGGATATAATTATACTAGCTTCACATCCATGTTCAATGAATGTGTTAATTCTATGAGCCTGACATGGAATGTAAGGTATTTTTCTACCTAATATTTCAGTTAATTTTTGTTGTGCACCATTAAATACTCCTGACATACTGCTGGCAAAATCATACGACTGAAAAACAAAATTATCAGGATCCAACTCATTCTTTTGCAATGTGTCTAATATGTCATTTGCCATTCCTACACCAGTTTTATTTAAGGCTTCGCGGACTTCTATTAATCTTTCTTCTGCTCTACCTTCATTATTGACGAACCTTACAACTACTGATAGCCTATCTGTATGTGACAAATCAGGCGTTGTATAGGCCATTACAGAAAACTGACCGAATTCCTTAACTTTAGCCCTAATAATTTTGTTCACTGATGACGCAAGGATGGTTATGAACTTGTTTTGAGATTGGGGACTCAAATATGTAGAATGGTATGACCGATAACAAGAATCATCTAGCCATTTTTTTAACAATGGACAATGCCTAGAAAGTAAATACGTAATTTGTCTAAAGTTTCCATTTTCATCATCGTCTTTTCCTCTAAATGCTAAACCTTGTCTAGCAAGGGTTTTGGTTACATCCAGTAAAATACATATTACTTCTTTATGAAAACTTTGATTGCTCTCTTCCTGAATTTTTTGCTCACGTACTGTTTTGTCTAGCATAACATCAATGTTATTTGATTTTTTCATGTAATTGCAATAATCAGTTAATGCAGATTTGTGCGCTTCAGAAGTGAAATGTTTCTGTAATTTTCCCATTTTGTTTAAACCACTGGAGCCTTTCGTTTTTTTCCACCCAGTCACGCCGATTTCATTCCAATATCCCTTACATTTTGACGACCAGCTACATCAGGAAATAAACTGCAAACAAAACAATAAGCTGCATCTTTCACCGTACTATATTCCAAATGTGGGTATTCGGTATACCAAGATGGATTAAAACGATGTGCTTCTCGCTTTGGGTAAAAGTTTAATTTTGGTTGATGTGGGCCTAGCATGATTAGGTATTGTCTTTGATTATCTGAAGTTATTTTAGCTCTGAGTCCTGGATCATGATGAACTTTACTACTAACAATATCTTTTTCGGTGATATTTTCTGAAACTATATCCATTTGTGTCATTAAAATATTGCATTTGTCCATTATAGAAGAGGAAGTTTTAAGGATGTGTTTTATAGCATCTTTTACTTCAATTACAAATTTGTAACTATTTACAACTTCAGCTTCATAAAGTTGATGAATTATTGGTTTACACATATCTATGTAATCAATTAAATGTTTAAACTGACCAGCACAACTAAAAACGTTTCCTGTTAAATCTGAACATTCTAAATTTGTTTCTGAGCTTTGATTAGGGAAATCACATTGATTAACTTCATTGATGACTTTTAATTCGCTCTCTTTTTGTGTTTCATTGGTTTCCATAACTTTAATTTCAGAAATATGTGCATTATCACTTGTCTTGGTAACAGATATTGATGACTCGACATCGGAGGTTGGACTTAATTTTGAGTTACACTAATAAAATCATTCATTGGTTAGCTATTGTACAAAATAAACTATATTTGCTTATAAAGCTTTTAATAAAACTATTAACTACATTATCAAAACTCAATTTATAACTAAATAAATAAAAAAATAAACAAATTCCCTGTTTTAGAACTAAGCTAAGATAACTAATATAACAATTTATATTTAACCCAATATTTTTTTTAAGAGCAAAGTATTAGTTTAAAAATAATTATATTTTATTTGTGACTTTAAATACATACATTTTCCAACAAATTTGATGAAGTCATTTGTAAATTTTTATTCGAAGCTTTAAGTGCAGCAACAAACGGATTCTTAGGAGCCCCTGGTTCCTTAACTCTAACACGTTTTCCATTGTGACAAGCTGTCTCATGTCTGGTCTTAAAATCATTGTCAAATATTCTTCCACAACTTTCACATTGCACTTTTCTTCGTTTACCCATACTTAAAACTTTGGCTTTAGACAGTCAGAATGCCTTAAAATTTCAAAGCTATTAGTAAATTATAAATTGAACATTTATAGACTAGCATTAAGGACTACAAAAACTACATTAATTTTTTTGTAGTAATATTTATTAATTTACATATATTTAAAAATTATTTAAAAAATGAATGTTAATTGTTTATGTAATCAAAAATATAAATAAATGTATTTATTTACTTAAAAAAAATACGTAATTTTATTTTTAATTAACTAGGCATAAATAGTATATTTATATTAAGAGTAAAATTATTATACATACAAGACACAAGAGTTATTAATGAAATAAATTATTTAATTAACTACCTATAAAGAAAATAAGTATTTATTTATTTTGTATGATTTATTATGTCTATACTCTAGGCTTTTGAATCTTTTACGTAAATATTTTATTAATTTTTGATATTTCACTTACTTAATAGTAAACACGAAACACATAACTTTGATAAGTTGTATGCGTGAAGAAATATACATAAACAATTCATAAAAAATTTAACGTAAATTTAGATTAATAAATGAAAAATCTTACCTCTATTTACGTCGATTTATTTTTATTTCAGTGCACACGCCACACGTACAGATACACAGTAGAATGAGAAATAAAATAAACGAAAAACACAGTTGTCACTTCTTGTAAATTGATAATGATAATGAATATTTACTATAATAACAAATTCTAAAAATACTGGGATTGACCAGCGGGCCTACGTGTGACTATTGTAAAAATTTAGCGGGCGAGCAGTGTATACTGACATACGGTATATACACAAAACAAAAATACGTATATAAAATTGTGTAAAGATAACAATTCAAAATAAATTTAATCAATTACGCTAATATTGGTTTTAGTTTCAGCATTAGACGGTAACGAAATATTATATATTATTATTTATTATGTTGATTTTATTTAATGATTTTTTTCGATGATCTGTGGCTGTATTAATATATTATCATGTATTTATGTCTATCGTCTATGGGCACGTAAAAACACATACAGTTTGAATTATAAAATCAATTTTTTTTTGTTCGATTTCATTACTTTGATTTGGCCGAGTGGCCGACTATAATATTAAAAGAGTCCGAGTGGCCGACTGTGGTAAGATTAGGGGGGCAAGATGCCCCCCCTTGCCCCCCCCCTTTATTTCGCCCTGGTTAAAAATAAGGATAATTACTGTTTTAAATATTCTATATTAAGTAAATATGATAAGCGTTCAAATAAATCTCGTTTTAACCAAATATATTTTAATTTTTTAGAAAAAAAGAGTGGATTAAATTTTAAATGTATTGATTTTCCGACACCGATAAAACAGATAAAAATATTTGAACGTTTAAATAATGTTTCGGTAAATGTTTATAGTTTAAATAATAAAAATTTTATTTTTCCATTATACATTGCTGATTCGGAAAAAAATAATCATTTTGATTTATTTTTATTTAGTTATGGTAAAACATCACATTATAGTTATATTATCAATTTTTCAAGATTTATTAGGAGCCAGAAAACTAAAAATTGTTCTAAGTTAATAATTTGTAAGAGATGTTTTACAACTTTCAGTAATAAAAAATGTAAAAGCAAACTTTGGGGTCAATCAGGATTAATTAGTCATAAAAAAATGTGTAACATAAATAAATTAGGAACACCTATAATGTTTGAAGAAGGAGTAGATGACGAATTTATATATTTTAAAAGTTATAAAAAAACCTGTAGAATTCCGATTGTTATTTATGCTGACTTTGAATGTATTTTAAGCCCTAAAAATGATGAGAAATTGAAGGATTCTAAAACTCACATCACTCATTTACATAAAATTATGAGCTATGGATTTTACGTAAAAGTTGACTATAATAGCATATCGGAAGAACTAATTCACCAATTCGAAATTCCAACAAAAGTAGTAATATATAGAGGTAAAGATGCTGCAAATAAGTTTATGAAAAATATGATTAAGATCGGTGAAAAGATTAATAATATTTATCAAATTAATATACCGATGATTAAATTAACCGAAAAAGAAGAAAAAGAATTTCAAAGAACAAAAGTTTGCGAAAAATTATCTTTTAAAAAAAATAATTTAATTAAAGTTCGCGACCACTGTCATTTAACTGGTAAATATAGACAATGTCTTTGCATAAAATGTAATTTTGAAATAACTACCCCTTCTTTCGTTCCGATTTTTTTTCATAACTTAACATATGATAGTCATTTTATAATTCGAGAACTTGGTTGTGATGATAATGACATTCATGTTATTCCAAATTCATCGGAAAAATATATTTCATTTAGCAAAGAAATCGCCTCAAGATTTAATATAAAACTTGTTGATTCATTTCGTTTTATGGCCTCCTCATTAAGTGAACTTGCGGATAATTTGAATGAAGATAAATCGAGATTTAGAGAAACTATAAAGATATTTTCTAATAAAAAATTAAATTTAGTAACACGAAAAGGTGTTTTCCCTTATGAATACATCGATAGTTGGAGTAAACTAAATGAAACCTGTTTACCTCCAAAAAATCTATTTTATAACTCTTTAAAAGATGAGGAAATTAGTGATGAAGATTATTCTCATGCCCAAAAAATATGGAAGATATTCGATTTAAAAACTTTGGGTGAATATAGCAATCTTTACTTAAAAACTGATGTTACTATACTAACAGATGTGTTCGAAAATTTTAGAGATTTATGTTTGTCTACTCTTAGACTAGATCCTGCTCATTATATGACTGCTCCAGGGTTTGCTTTTGATTGTATGCTTAAATATACTAAGGTTAAATTAGAAAGATTAAAAGATTTTAACCTGCTTTTATATTTTGAGAATGCCATCAGAGGTGGGATTGTCCAATCAACAAAAAGATATGCTAAAGCAAACATACCAAAAATTAAAGGTTTAAGCTATGATTCTGATAAACCTATCACATGGATTACATATCTTGATTGTGTAAATTTATATGGAAAGTCAATGTTAACAGAACTACCTCTAAAAGATTTTGAATGGGTTGATGATTTAGACATTGACGTTACTAAAATTCCTGATGATTCGAAAGTTGGATATATATTAGAAGTTGATATTGATTACCCTGAATATTTACATAAAAAGCATAATGATTACCTATAAACGAATGTCCTCCTAATTCAAAAGTTAAAAAATTGATTACTACGTTATCATCAAAAAAAAATTATATTGTACATTATAAAAATTTGAAACAAGCAATTTTTAATGGACTTAAGTTGGTAAAAATTCATCGAGCTATAAGATTTTCACAGAGTAAATGGATGGCACCATACATTGAACTTTGTACGAAAATGAGAGTAATAGCTAAAAACAAATTTGAAAAAAAACTTTTGGAAATTATTAATTAATAGCGTTTTTGGTAAATGTATGGAAAATGTTCGAGCTAGAACTTCTTTAAAATTGGTTTCATCAGAAATAAAAGCAAATAAATTAATGATGAAAACTAATTTTAAAGATAGAACTATATACTCTAAAAATCTAATGGCTATTCATCAGCATAAGGAACTTATTAAATTTGATAAACCGATTTATGTCGGATTTGCAATCTTAGACGTTTCGAAAACATTTATGTATGATTTTCATTATAATGTAATGAAAAAAAGATATGGTAACAAAATTAACTCTTTATACTCAGATACAGATTCTATGGTATATGAAATTCAAACACACAACTTTTTCAATGACTTAAGATATGATTTATTACCGTTTTTCGATACATCAAACTATCCAAAAAAT